ATAAAAACTAAAGCGATTTAGAAAAATTTTGCTTAATAATAAAGAACATGTTAAGCTTTCAGAATATTAAAGAAATATTACATAAATTTTAACACAGAGGGCGCTACAGAGTTTCAAAGTTGATAAATTAAATTAATGAAATATGTCTTTTATAACTTTTACAAATAACCCTCTTAAATGTAATAAACTGAACCGATTTTTATACAACTTAAAGAATGAAAACAAGAGAAACTAAGCTTTTAAATAAGCTAAAAACAGTTGTCATATTTAAGCTACAGATGTCGCTACAGTAGGACAAACGTCGCATATATAATTACATACAAACATCACTTTGTAATTTTGCATTTTTTAACAAAATTTCTTTTATGGATTTTATAAAAATGAATTAACTTTTCTATAGTTAAAAAGTAGACACAATTTCCTTTCCATTGATATATAATATGTATGATTAGTTTCACTCGCAAGTTATATAATCACCTTCCAAGATCACTTAGTAAAAATTTCGAAAAAAATATTATAATTTTGCAGTTTTTAGCAAAATTTCTTTTATAAATTTTATAAAAATGTTTTTTATTTTTTTTATATATATAAAAAGTAGATACAATTACCTTTCCATTGATGTATAATATATATGATTTATTTTATTTACAAGCCTAATAATTACATACCAAGATCACTGAGTGAAAATTTCGTAAAAATATTATAATTTTTCAGTTTTTAGTAAAATTTCTTTTATAGATTTTATAAAAATTAAATTATTTTTATATATTTAAAAAGTAGACACAATTTCCTTTACAATGATATATAATAAGTCCTAATTTGCTTTAAAACTAGGCAATTTGTCAAACACAAAACTGACCATTACAGCAAATTTTCTAATTTTTGATGATTGATTTAAAAAGCTTTTAACTTTGTTGTGTTTTAAGATTGAAATTTTTTTAGATGAATTAATACCTTTTAACATTATCTGAATGAACCCTGTTATTACAACTTTTATCTGAAATTTGTTTTTTTTTTTTTCAATAAAAAACGCATTTGCTGCAAGGTCTGTTTTGTTTAGTGAAAATTTGTTTATAAAAATTGTATACTGATGATCTCATCAAAATATAATTTTACACAAATTACTTTTTTTTCTGCGATTTTTTTGTTTTCTGTTCAAGTTAAAGGTGATAATATATTTAACAAATTGTTGTTGCTGTTTAAACTTGAATTGAAATATAAAAATCAGCAATAAATTATTATGAAGTTAATTTTAACATGACGTAAATATGATTTTGTAATTTAAGCAAAAAAAAACTTAAAAAATTCTTATCAGCTGGTAGAAAAATTTGATTTGATTTCTGGTAGTTCCTCAAAAAAAACTTAATAAATAAACCATATTTTTCAATTAATGAGAATTTCTTTTTAATTAAAAAGTGGGTCAAGTTTCTTGGGAAAGAATTTAATAAACATTCTTATTTAGGAATTTTTTTTGGAATATTTATGTAAAGCTTTTATGAAATCATACGTGTTTATAAAAAATTTTAGCAAAAAGAACTTTTTATAAAAGGCTTTTATCAAAACAAGATTTTTTATCAAAAGCTTTTATCAAAACAAGCTTTTTTACCAAAAGCTTTTATGAATTCAAGCTTTTTTAACAAAACCTTTTATGAATTCAAGCTTTTTTACTAAAAGCTTTTATGAATTCAAGCATTTTTATCTAAAGCTTTTATGAAAACGAACTTTTTTATGAAAAGCTTTTTATAAAATAGATCTTTTATCCAAAGCTTTTATGAAATCAAGCTTATTTATTAACTTTTTCAAAGAAATAAAACATTTATATTGAAAGCTTTTATGAAATCAAGCTTTTTTACCATAAACTTTAATAAAATCAAGCTGTTTACCATAAACTTTTTTAAAATCAAGCTTTTAACATAAGCTTTTAACATAAACTTTAATAAAATAAAAGCTTTTTTATAAAAAGCTTTCATCAAAATAATCTTTTATAGCAAAAACGTTTAAGAAACCAAGGTTTTTTAGAAAAGCTTTTATGTAATAAAACTTTTTTAATAAAGCTTTTATATATAAAACTTTTTTTACAAAGCTTTTATGAAATAAAGTTTTTTTTAGGAAAAGTTTTAATGAAATCAAATTTTTTATAAAAAGCTTTCATGAAATTCAAATTTTTATTTTTTATTTAAGATTTTACCAAATCCATATTTTTAATCAAAAGCTTTTATGAAAACCAGCTTATTTTTATCAAAAGCTTTAATGAAATCTAGATATTTTAGCAAAAGCTTTAATGAAATCAAACTTTTTTAATAAAAGCTTTTATGATATTAGACTTTTTATCAAAAGCTCTTATGAAATTGAGCTTTTTTACTAACATTTTTAATTTAATTAAAATATTTAACAAAAGCTTTTATCAAATCAATATTTTTACCAAAAGCTTTTATGAAATCCAGCTTTTCTACCAAGGCTTTTATGAAATCAAGCTCTTTCACCAAATCTTTTAGCAAAACAATCATTTTTAGCAAAAGCTTTTATGATTTAAAGCATTTTAGCATTAAATTTTAAAAACTTATTTCTTAAGACTTTATTCCTTTTACACAATTTCCTACATATTCATTGAATTTTCCTCTCAAATGAACTTAATTAATATTATTAGTGAAACGTCCTTGTAACCTTTTATTTTTTGCAAAACCCCTTAAAAGCTTTTACACACATTGTTGTGTTTGTTCTTGCATCTTACACAGAAAAACAAATTAAAACAAAATTCCAATAAATATGTTATTTGACATACATTTTTAGCAAGAAAACTATAGCAAAAAATTAACTTGTCATATGCACAAAACCCCCCACAACATAATCCTACAACTGCAACAACAAAAAACTACATTTTTTAAAACCTTTAAACAAATAAAAAACTAACCGCCTTTTGTTGTCGTTTAAAAGAAAAAAAATGTTCTTATGTATCCATTCAGTTTATGATTGACAGAACATTTAGTGTTGTTGTCGATTTTAATAACACTTGACAGGTTTCTAAATTGTCAACACATAAACCTTTTCATTCCTACTTATTTGACGCTTAACAAAAAAATTCTTATTTTTCTATAATTTTTCTAATGCAGCCAACATTTAAGCATTTAAATGACACTATTCTTTATTGTTAATTTGCTAAAACTAGGAGAACTATTACAAAAGCTTTAGGGTGGAGGACGTCGTCTTTAGGTACAGTCTAACCTTTTAGGCTACATTTGCCCTCATTAAGTGTTATTAACAAACAAAAAATGTCGCATTATTTTTGATATTTTCTAAGCCCTGGCTAATGGTTGAGAATTGTAAGTAGTTGTTTTATAAAGAAATTTCACCAGCCGATGCTTTTTTAGTTGAAAGCTTTTCTAATTTTTGTCAAAAACTTGAATACAATTACTCTTCTTTTTAAATTTGTTTATGAAAACAGTATTTTTGTGAAAAGCTTTTGTGAAAAAACGCTTATTTGTCAAAAGCTTTTATGAAAATAAGCTTATTTGGCAAAAGTTTTTATGAAAACAAACTTTTTTGCCAAAAGCTTTTATGAAAATAAACTTTTTTGTTAAACGCTTTTGTAAAAATAAACTTTTTTGTCAAAAGCTTTTGTGAAAACAAGCTTCTTTACCAAAAGCTTTTATGAGAAAATCTTATTTGTCAATAGCTTTTATGGAAATAAACTTTTTTGTCAAAAGCTTTTGTGAAAATAAACTTTATTGTCAAAATCATTTTTGGAAACAAGCTTCTTTACCAAAAGCTTTTATGATAAAAGCTTTTTTGTCAAAAGCTTTCATGAAAACAAACTTTTTTGTCAAAAGCTTTTGTGAAAATAAACTTTATTGTCAAAATCATTTTTGGAAACAAGCTTCTTTACCAAAAGCTTTTATGAAAACAAACTTTTTGTTGAAAGCTTTTATGAAGATAAACATTTTTGTCAAAAGCTTTTGTGAAAACAAACTTCTATACCAAAAGCTTTTATGAAAACTATCTTTTTTACCAAAAGCTTTTATGAAAATAAGCTTACCAAACAAAAGTTTAATGAAAACAACCTTCTTTACCAAAAGCTTTTATGAAAACAAGCATATTTCCCAAAAGCTTTTATTAAAACAAGCTTATTTAGCAAAAGCTTTTATGAATACAAGCTTATTTGTCAAAAGCTTTTACGAAAACAAGCTGCTTTGTGAAAAGCTCTAATGAAAACAACCTTATTTACCAACAAATTTTATGAAAACAAGCTTTTTTACCGAAAGCTTTTATGAAAATAATCTTTTTTATCGAAAGCTTTTATGAAAACTAGCTTCTTTACCAAAAGCTTTTATGAAAATAGTCATCTTTACGAAAAGCTTTTCTGAAAATAAGCTTTTTTATCAAAAAAGTATTTTGGAAATAAACAATTTGTTACTTTGCATCTCTCAAGATTAACAATTAAAACTTAAAAGCTTTATTAAGCCAAAAAAAGTTGTCTTAAAGCCCAGGCATTACTTGTAACTAACTGTGGCCTAGCTTTTGGTTTTATGGGCTGTAGTCTGCCTTTATTTCTGCTCTATTAATTTTTGTTATTGCTGTATGTGCAACTAATTAAATTAAAGAAAAAAAAAACAACAACAATTGTTAACGGATTAAGATTAAAATGAAAGATGAATGCTAAAGTTTGTTTTTTTATATTTTCTTTCATTTCTACTACCCTTAAGAGCTTAATCAATGAAAGGCACAAAAGGAATTTGTTTAACAGATAGTTTTGTCGCCTTAAATAGGATTTGCATTTATAATTTATACAAAAACCAAAGACAAAGCAAACGAAAATGTAAACTTTTATTGCTTGAGAAAAAGATTTAAAGAAAACTTTTTTGAATTTGTATTAAGATAAAGCTTCTTTCAGTTATGTATAAAAGAATAATTAAAGGCAAATTAAAAAGTTTTAAAATGTATTTAAAAGGATTTATTTGCGAAAAAAAAATTAAAATGATTTTCGATATTTTTTTATCTTTTAGGAACAATTACGACGTCGCCGTGAGGAGGAAGAGCGTATTGCCCAACAAAATGAATTCTTACGCGCCAGTTTACGGGGCTCTCGCAAACTTAAAGCTTTGCAGGATAACAAGTCGGCGGCCCAACAACAGCAACCGGTGGCGGCTGAACGTTCGGTGGTAGGAGTGGAAAATGAAGCTTATATAGAAGATGAAGATGCAACAGAGAAAATAACTGGTAAGTTGAAAAGCTTTTGAAAGGATTTCTTTGACTGAATTTAAGTGAAAACAAGTATTTCTTTAATAAAAAAAGCCTTTCCATCAAAACTTTTGTGAAAAAATTTCTTTTTCCAAGCAAGAAAGCTAACTTTTTTGTAAAAGCTTTTATGAAAATATGCTTTTCAATAAAAAGCTTTTATTAAATAAGATTATTTATTGTAAGCTTTTATGAAAATAAGCTTTATGAACAAAAGCTTTTATGAAAAGTAGCTTTTTTTATTAAAAGCTTTTATGAAAATAAGCTTTTTGAACAAAAGCTTTTATGAAAAGTAGCTTTTTTATTAAAAGCTTTTATGAAAATAATCTTTTAACATAAGCTTTTAATAAAATAACCTTTTTTAACAAAAGCTTTTATGAAACCTTGATTTTTTACTAATAGCTTTTATGAAATAAGCTTTTCAAATAAAAGCTTTTATGAACTTAAGGCCTTTTTACTAAAAGCTTTTATGTAAATAAGCTTTTTCAACAAAAGCTTTTAAGAAAATAACCTTTTTTACCAAAAGCTTTTATGAAAACTAGGTATTTTACCAAAAATTTTATGAAAACTAGGTATTTTACTAAAAGCTTTTATAAAATAAGCTTTTCAAATTAAAGCTTTTATGAAATTAAGGCTTTTTTGTAAAAAACTTTCATGTTAACTAGTTTTTTTCTTAAAGCTTTAATGGATTATGAAGTTTTCATCAACAAATTATTAAAAACTGAACTTTTTCAGTAAAAGTTTTTTTTCTAATAAAAGCTTTTACAAAAAGAAGCATTTTAACTTTTGTAGTAAAAGCTTTTATGAAAATAAGCTTTTAAAAACAATTTTAGTAAATGCTTTTATAAAAATAAACTTTTTTAGTAAAAGCTTTTAAGAAAATAAGCTTTTAAAAACAACTATAGAAATTCGATTTTTTATACAAATAAGATTTTTAAATAAAAGCTTTTGAACTATTGAAGATTTGTAAAGCTTTTGAAAGCTTTTTTCTATAAAACTTTAATTTAATCGCTTTTTTCTTTAATTCCTTAGGTTATGGCGATCTTATAGCCGCCCTGACACGTCTACAAAATCAACTTACCAAAAATGGCATGACCACACTCGCCGGCCGAGTGTCGGCCGCCCACAATATACTCTCCAATCCGGGAGTGGCTCATGCTTTAGCAGCCCGCCAGGCTGTCCTCCAACGTAGACGACCCAAAGTCAATCAACCCGTCAGTACAAACGCCATGGAATTGCAAAAGGATATCGTCGAGCTGTTGGCCAAATCCAATTCTGCCTCAGCCATTGAATTGGGCAATTTACTGACCAGTCATGAAATGGAGGGTCTTTTGTTGGCACACGATCGTGTGGCCACACATACCGATGGCACGCCTTCGCCTACTTTAAGTGGTGCGGGTAGTCCGCAACCGCCGCTATCGCCTAGCAGTGGTACGAACGTGACAGCAGCAGCACCGCCACCTTTACCGGTACCACCCAAGTCGGCTTCTCTGAGGGGTACCGCCGTGCCTCCACCAGTGGTGCCACCACCTTTGGCTCAACGCGGAGCCATGCCTTTGCCACCCAATGTAGCGCCCCACAATGCTACGAGTGGCGGACAGACGGGCTATGCCCATATGAAACCGACGGGTCGTCCCGACTCTCCACCCCTGAGTGCCTGCTTTGGCATACTCAACGATCAAAATGACAATATACGTATTATACAAATTGAAAAATCGACTGAACCCCTGGGGGCCACCGTGCGCAATGAAGGCGAGGCGGTGGTTATAGGCCGCATAGTAAGAGGAGGAGCCGCTGAGAAGTCGGGTCTTTTACACGAAGGCGATGAAATACTCGAGGTGAATGGTCAAGAGCTAAGAGGCAAGACCGTTAATGAGGTGTGTGCCCTGCTAAGCACCATGCAGGGTACTCTAACATTCCTTATAGTGCCCGCTGGCAGTCCACCACCCGGTGGCGGCCTACATCGCGAAAATGCTATATTACATGTCAGAGCCCACTTTGATTATGATCCCGAGGATGATTTGTATATACCCTGTCGGGAATTGGGCATTAGTTTTCAAAAGGGCGATGTTTTGCATGTTATCTCGAGGGAAGATCCCAACTGGTGGCAGGCCTATAGAGAGGGAGAGGAAGACCAAACTTTGGCTGGTCTTATACCTAGTCAATCATTCCAGCATCAAAGAGAAACCATGAAACTGGCCATAGCCGAAGAGGCCGGATTGCAGGGTAAAAATCGCGGCAAAGAGGGTGCTAGCAAAGGTTCCACTTTGCTGTGTGCGCGCAAGGGACGCAAGAAGAAAAAGAAGGCCAGCTCGGAAGCGGGGTAAGTCGGTTTATATAACAGTAATCTAGGGATTTAGATATTAATTTTTTCATATTTTTCCAACAGCTATCCTTTATACGCCACCACCGCCCCCGATGAAACAGAACCCGAGGAAATACTCACTTATGAAGAGGTTGCCTTGTACTATCCGCGTGCCACTCACAAACGTCCCATAGTCCTGATAGGTCCTCCCAATATCGGACGTCATGAATTGCGTCAACGTTTGATGGCGGATTCGGAAAGATTTTCTGCCGCAGTACCACGTAAGTTTTAAAAAAAGTTTTTAACATTTTTTTATAATTTCTCTAACAACTTAGCGCAAAACTTTTAAGAGTTCAAAATTTTTCCTTGTAGTTTTTTATTTACTAGAGGACAAAGTTAAACCCCCTAAACAGAAATCGAAAAAAGGTATTTAGCAACCAACTACAAAAGTTTAGTATTTGGATTCACCCACCTTTTCTGTGAAAAAAAAGCTTTTAAAAGCTTTCAAAATTTCCTTTTGAAATGCATTTCAAGTTTGGTTTCTAAACAAACATTTAAAACATAGTTTTTGAACTTTCCCTAGCAATAACAAAAGTTGGTTCCATTAGATTTGACTACTGAAATAGTTTTGTGAACATAATTCGCAGTATTAGCTTTTGATAAAGTAGGATTTTTAAAAAATCTTTAGAAAATTTCCAAAAAAATTATTAATTTTATTAAATTTTAACTTTATTCTCCTCTTTCTTATTTTAGATACTTCAAGAGCTCGACGCGAGGGTGAGGTACCCGGCGTGGATTATCATTTTATAACACGTCAGGCGTTCGAGGCCGATATCTTGGCTCGTCGTTTTGTGGAACATGGTGAATATGAAAAGGCTTATTACGGTAAGTTTTGTAAAAAAACAATTTAAGGGAAATATTTATTGTTTTCATTTCAATTTCAGGCACTTCTTTGGAAGCCATACGCACTGTGGTGGCCAGTGGTAAAATATGTGTTCTCAACTTACATCCACAAAGTTTAAAACTGTTAAGAGCTTCGGATTTGAAACCCTATGTTGTGCTGGTGGCACCGCCTAGTCTGGATAAGTTGAGGCAAAAGAAATTAAGGACTGGTGAACCGTTTAAGGTGAGACCCAATGGGCATTAATAGAATTGAACTAGAACGGAACAAGAACTGAACAAGAACTAAACAAGAACAGAACAAGAACAGAACAAGAATTGAACAAGAACTTAACTAGAACTGAACTAGAACTGAACTAGAACTGAACTAGAACTGAACTAGAACTGAACTAGAACTGAACTAGAACTGAACTAGAACTGAACTAGAACTGAACTAGAACTGAACTAGAACTGAACTAGAACTGAACTAGAACTGAACTAGAACTGAACTAGAAATGAACTAGAACTGAACTAGAACTGAACTAGAACTGAACTAGAACTGAACTAGAACTGAACTAGAACTGAACTAGAACTGAACTAGAACTGAACTAGAACTGAACTAGAACTGAACTAGAACTGAACTAGAACAGAACTAGAACTGAACTAGAACTGAACTACAACTGAACTAGGACTAGATTTGAAATAGAATTGGACTAAAACTGAACTAGAACTGATTTAGAACTGAACTAGAACTGAACTAGAACTGAACTAGAACTGAACTAGAACTGAACTACAACTGAACTAGAACTAGGACTAGATTTGAAATAGAATTGGACTAAAACTGAATTAGAACTGATTTAGAACTGAACTAGAACTGAACTAGACTGAACTAGAACTGAACTACAACTGAACTAGAACTAGGACTAGATTTGAAATAGAATTAGACTAAAACTGAACTAGAACTGATTTAGACTGAACTAGAACAGAACTAGACGAACTAGAACAGAACTAGAACAGACTAAACAGAACTAGAAAGAACTAGAACAGAACTAGAACAGAAACTAAGAACAGAACTAGAACAAACTAGAACAGAATAGAACAGACTTAGACGAACTTAGAACAGAACTAGAACGAACTAGAACATAACTAGAACAGAAATAGAACAAGAACTAGAACAGAACTAGAACAGAACTAAACAGAACTAGAACAGAACTAGAACAGAACTAGAATCCGAACTAGAACAGAACTAGAACAGGAACTAGAACAGAACTAGAACAGAACTAGAACAGACTAGAACAGAACTAGAACAGAACTAGAACAGAACTAGAACAGAACTAGAACAGAACTAGAACAGAACAGAACTAGAACAGAACTAGAACAGAACTAGAACAGAACTAGAACAGAACTAGAACAGAACTAGAACAGAACTAGAACAGAACTAGAACAGAACAGAACTAGAACAGAACTAGAACAGAACTAGAACAGAACTAGAACAGAACTAGAACAGAACTAGAACAGAACTAGAACAGAACTAGAACAGAACTAGAACAGAACTAGAACAGAACTAGAACAGAACTAGAACAGAATTAGAGCAGAACTAGAACAGAACTAGAACAGAACTAGAACAGAACTAGAACAGAACTAGAACAGAACTAGAACAGAACTAGAACAGAACTAGAACAGAACTAGAACAGAACTAGAACAGAACTAGAACAGAACTAGAACAGAACTAGAACAGAACTAGAACAGAACTAGAACAGAACTGAAACAGAACTAGAACAGAATTAGAACAAAACTAGAACTAGAACAGAACTAGAACAGAACTAGAACAGAACTAGAACAGAACTAGAACAGAACTAGAACAGAACTAGAACAGAACTAGAACTGAACTAGAACTGAACTAAAACAGAACTAGAACAGAACTAGAACAGAACTAGAACAGAACTAGAACAGAACTAGAACAGAACTAGAACAGAACTAGAACAGAACTAGAACAGAACTAGAACAGAACTAGAACAGAATTAGAACAGAACTAGAACAGAACTAGAACAGAACTAGAACTGAACTAGAACTGAACTAAAACAGAACTAAAACAGAACTAGAACACAACTAGAACACAACTAGAACAGAACTAGAACAGAACTAGAACAGAACTAGAAAAGAACTAAAACAGAACTAGAACAGAACTAGAACAGAACAGAACTAGAACAGAACAGAACTAGAACAGAACTAGAACAGAACTAGAACAGAACTAGAACAGAACTAGAACAGAACTAGAACAGAACTAGAACAGAACAGAACTAGAACAGAACTAGAACAGAACTAGAACAGAATTAGAACAGAACTAGAACAGAACTAGAACAGAACTGGAACAGAACTAGAACAGAACTAGAACCAGAATTGGCCCAGAACGGATGTTGAACTGACGTAGAAATGAACTAAACTTTTTCTTATAATTTTTTTTTTTAATTCCTAATTTTTTATCTCTTCTTTTAGGAGGAAGAACTCAAAGATATAATTGCCACCGCCCGTGACATGGAGGCCCGCTGGGGTCATTTATTCGATATGATTATTATAAATAATGATACAGAACGAGCTTATCATCAGCTTTTAGCTGAAATCAATTCCCTAGAACGTGAACCCCAATGGGTACCAGCCAGTTGGGTGCATAACAACCGTGAAGAGTCATAACTTTTTTAAAAACATAATAATAATTTCAAAAATTAAACTAAATATGAATGAAAGTGAAACTAGAAAAACATTAAAATTTTGTATATAAAAAAAGAAAAAACAAACTAAAGATATTAAGTGAGAAACAAAGTTAAAACAAAAACCTGGGCAATATTTTATTTTTTTTAATATTTTATAATTTGTAGATATTTTTTTATGTTTTTTAATAATTTTTGTTTAATTTGTATATTTTTTTTTTAATACATTAATTTTTCCTTAAAATAATTTCTTTATAAAATTTTTAATTACTTAAAAAAGTGTTAAAGAAATTTTCTTTATTTTTTTCATCCAAACTTCGTTAAACATTCCCCCCCAAAATTTACTAACATTTTCATTTTAGTTTAATTTTTTAATTTTTCACGAAAATGTTAAGTTTAAGTTTTTTTTTAGAATTTAACTTTAAAAATTTAAAACTAAATAATTAGTTAAGACAAAAGAAAATACTAGTTGTTAAAAAAAAATTTAAAATTTAAAAAAATAACTAAAGAAAATAAAACTAATTCTCCAAAACCTTTAAAATAAATAAAAAATAACACCACAGACAGACAGAAAAAACTACTTAAACTATTAACTAAATAAAAACAAAACAAAATAATTAATAATTTAGTAAATTATTAATAACAATAAATAAAAACCAACCAACTCCCCCATTTACTTTATAAAAAAATTAATGTTTTTTTAGAAAAAAAAATAATAATTGAATTTACAAAAAAATCATAATTAAATCAATAATTTATATTATATTAAAATTTAAAGAAAAAACTCTAAGTTGTTAAACAAAAAAAATATTTTTAACAAAATAAACACTCCCCCACTTGTTAAATAAAGTTTAAAATTTAAAACAAAACATCTGTTAACTAAAATTTAACAAATTTTAGCAAAAAATCATGAAATTTAATTAAAAATAATGAGTATTTAATAAAAAAGAAAATAATTGTGTTTTTTTATATTTTGTAGTTATTTAATCATAATTCTTTTGTTTTTATATAAAATATTATTAAATAAAAAATTAAAAAATAATATTAAAATAACAAATAACTAAAATAACTTTAAAATGGATATATAAACTAGAATTTAGCAATGTAACTGAAAAATGGTAAAAAAATATAAAGGAAAAAACAACAACAAAAACAAAAAAATAAATATATTAAATATGTTAAATTATTTTTAGTTGTAAAATCTATAAATAAATAAAAACAAAAACAAATATTTCAGAAAAATATTAAAATTAAAAATAAGAATTTTAATAAAAACTTCCAATTCGATTCAAGTTCAGTTCTAGTTTAGCTCTGGTTTAGCTCTAGTTCGGTTCTAGTTCTGTTCTAGTTATGTTCTAGTTCTGTTCTAGTTCTGTTCTAGTTCTGTTCTAGTTCTGTTCTAGTTCTGTTCTAGTTCTGTTCTAGTTCTGTTCTAGTTCTGTTCTAGTTCTGTTCTAGTTCTGTTCTAGTTCTGTTCTAGTTCTGTTCTAGTTCTGTTCTAGTTCTGTTCTAGTTCTGTTCTAGTTCTGTTCTAGTTCTGTTCTAGTTCTGTTCTAGTTCTGTTCTAGTTCTGTTCTAGTTCTGTTCTAGTTCTGTTCTAGTTCTGTTCTAGTTCTGTTCTAGTTCTGTTCTAGTTATGTTCTAGTTCTGTTCTAGTTCTGTTCTAGTTCTGTTCTAGTTCTGTTCTAGTTCTGTTCTAGTTCTGTTCTAGTTCTGTTCCAGTTCTGATCTAGTTCGGTTCTAGTTCTGTTCTAGTTCTGTTCTAGTTCTGTTCTAGTTCTGTTCTAGTTCTGTTCTAGTTCTGTTCTAGTTCTGTTCTAGTTCTGTTCTAGTACTGTTCTAGTTCTGTTCTAGTTCTGTTCTAGTTCTGTTCTAGTTCTGTTCTAGTTCTGTTCTAGTTCTGTTCTAGTTCTGTTCTAGATCTGTTCTAGTTCTGTTCTAGTTCTGTTCTAGTTCTGTTCTAGTTCTGTTCTTGCTCTGTTCGTGCTCTGTTCTAGTTCTAGTTCTGTTCTAATTCTGTTCTAGTTCTGTTCTAGTTCTGTTCTAGTTCTGTTCTAGTTCTGATCTAGTTCTGTTCTAGTTCTATTCTAGTTCTGTTCTAGTTCAGTTCTAGTTCTGTTCTAATTCTGTTCCAGTTCTGTTCTAGTTCTGATCTAGTTCGGTTCTAGTTCTGTTCCAATTCTGTTCTATTTCTGTTCTAGTTCTAGTTCTGTTCTAGTTCTGTTCTAGTTCTAGTTTTGTTCTAATTCTGTTCTAGTTCTGTTCTAGTTCTGTTCTAGTTCTGTTCTAGTTCTGTTCTAGTTCTGTTCTAGTTCTGTTCTAGTTCTGTTCTAGTTCTGTTCTAGTTCTGTTCTAGTTCTGTTCTAGTTCTGTTCTACTTCTGTTCTAGTTCTGTTCTAGTTCTGTTCTAGTTCTGTTCTTGCTCTGTTCGTGCTCTGTTCTAGTTCTAGTTCTGTTCTAATTCTGTTCTAGTTCTGTTCTAGTTCTGTTCTAGTTCTGTTCTAGTTCTGTTCTAGTTCTGTTCTAGTTCTGTTCTAGTTCTGTTCTAGTTCTGTTCCATTTCTGTTCTAATTCTGTTCTAGTTCTGTTCTATTTCTGTTCTAGTTCTGTTCTACTTCTGCCCTAGTTCTGTTCTAGTTCTGTTCTAGTTCTGTTCTAGTTCTGTTCTAGTTCTGTTCTAGTTCTGTTTTAGTTCAGTTCTAGTTCAGTTCTAGTTCAGTTCTAGTTCAGCTCTAGTTCAGTTCTAGTTCAGTTCTAGTTCAGTTCTAGTTCTGTTCTAGTTCAGTTCTAGTTCAGTTCTAGTTCAGTTCTAGTTCAGTTCTAGTTCAGTTCTAGTTCAGTTCTAGTTCTGTTCTAGTTCTGTTCTAGTTCTCTTCTAGTTCTGTTCCAATTCTGTTCTAGTTCTGTTCGAGTTCTGTTCTAGTTCTGTTCTAGTTCTGTTCTAGTTCTGTTCGAGTTCTGTTCTAGTTCTGTTCTAGTTCTGTTCTAGTTCTGTTCTAGTTCTGTTCTAGTTCTGTTCTAGTTCTGTTTTAGTTCTGTTCTAATGCTTTTCTAGCTCTGTTCTAGTTCTATTCTAGTTTTGTTTCAGTTCTGTTCTAGTTTAAAACTTTTACTTTAAATTTAATGTCTTTTGTCTGGTAGCGCTTTCTGCTAGTTAGAGTTGACACTTATAACAGCACTGTTACTATTTGCAGTGATGCCATACGTTGTTAGTGGTTTTATTTATGACTAAAAATATACTACAGTTTTATTAATGTTATGGGCTGTTAACTAAAAAATAAAATATTTATTTTTACAGGCGCCATCTGCCGTGATGTAGCAGAGAATGAAATGAAATGCTTAATTTAAGCATTTGAAATAGAAATTTTGGAACACAGGCTACTCCCGGTATAACGATTGTGAAATTTTGGCCCTTTAGGTAAATCGAAAAATTGGATTATTTATTGTTGTCGCTGATGATGGTGAGGCAGCATCTATCGCCATGGTTGGATCATTAACAGCCTTTTTAAACATCGTATAAAGCTAACACAAATAGATGTATACTTAAGATAATAGCAATAATCTGAAATAAAGATGCAACTACAAACAAAATTGTTTAGTCTTTTATTCAGTTCAAGATCTGAAACAATTCCACTACAGGTTTAGATCAATTCCCATCAGTTCTAGTTTTAGTTCTGTTATGGTTCTCTTCTTGCATTGGCTAGCAAAGAACTTGCTGTTGCCAAGACAATAAAAAATGTTCGGGAATTTTGATGAAGTATTTGTTCCAGGTCCATTCTGACTCCATTTTTGGATTCAGCATGGGAATTTACCACAATGATGAGTTCCCAGCCAGATTCGCCCAGTAGTTTCCGAGTTTGAAACAAAATTAAAAAAGTCAGCAATTTTGATGAAAGTTGGACCTAGGACCCACTACAACAAAATTTCAAATTTATTTTTTGTTTGCTTTAAACTCGTAAACTGCTGGGCGAATCTGGCTGGAAACTCACCTTTCTGGTAAATTCCCATGCTGAATCCAAAAATGGGATCAGAATGGACCTAGCTCCATTGCTTCATCAAAATTCCCGAAAATATTTTATTTTGAACAATTTGCACTATAATTTTGGGATCTTAAGGCTGAGGGAAAATTGAAATTTGTAATTTAAGCCTAAAATCTATGCTGAATCCGAAATTGGTTTCAGAATTGAGCTAGGTCCAATATTTCATAAAAATTTCAGCACAAAAATTTTGATCCAAAAATACCACGAAATTTCATTTCACATCAAGATTTGTCTAATATGAGAGGTTCTTGTCTTGGCTAGCAAATTTTTCAATAGTCAAGACAAGAACCCCCAAAATGTAGAGGAAATTTTGAGATAACATACAATTTTGCAGTTAAATCGCCCCGAAATTTTGTTCGGAAATTTGGATGAAATATTGGTCTCAGGTCCAATATGAGCTTATTTTCGGATTCAGCTTAAGTACTAATCTTGAATGTCAAATTTTGTCAGCTCTAGGCCTCAAGACCCCGACAGAATACTACAAATTGCTTAAAATAAAAAAATGTCGGGAATTTTGATGAAATATTGGTCCCAGGACCAATCTGAGTCCATTTTTGGATTCAGCATGGGATTTTACCAGAAAGGTGAGTTTCCAGCCAGATTCGCCCAGTAGTTTCCGAGTTTGAAGCAAAATTAAAAAAAATCAGAAATTTTGATGACTGTTGGACCTAGGTCCTATTTTACGACAAAATTTTAAATTTATTTTTTGTTTTAAACTCGAAAACTACTGGGCGAATCTGGCTGGAAACTCACCTTTCTGGTAAATTCCCATGCTGAATCCAAAAATGGACTCAGAATGGACCTAGGTCCATTGCTTCATCAAAATTCCCGAAATTTTTTTATTTTGAACAATTTGTCCTATTATTTTGGGATCTTAAGGCTGAGGGAAACTGAAATTTGTAATTTAAGACTTCAATCTATGCTGAATCCGAAAATGGTTTCAGAATTGAGCTAGGTCCAATATTTCATAAAAATTTCCGCACAAACATTTTGAACCAAATATCCCACAAAATTCCATGTCACATCAAGATTTTTCGAACATGAGAGGTTCTTGTCTTGGCTAGCAATGTTTTCAATAGTCAAGACAGGAACCCTCAAAAATAGAGGAAATTTTGGAATATTTTGAAAAACATACAGATTTGTAGTGGAATCGGTCTGAAATATTGTTAGGAAATTTTTATGAAATATTGGCCTCAGGTCCACTATGAGTTCATTATCAGATTCAGCTTAAACACTAATCTTGAATGTCCAATTATTGTAGCCCTAGGCCTCAAGACCCCGACATAATACCACAAATTGCTTAAAATAAAAAATTTTCGGGAATTTTGATGAAATATTGGTCCCAGGTCCATTCTGAGTTCATTTTTGGATTCAGCATGGGATTTTACCAGAAAGGTGAGTTTCCAGCCAGATTCGCCCAATAGTTTCCCAGTTTGAAACAAAATTTTAAAAAAATTAGAAATTTTGATGAATGTTGGACCTAGGACCCATACTACAACAAAATTTCAAATTTATTTTTTTGTTTGCTTTAAACACGAAAACTACTGGGCGAATCTGGCTGGAAACTCCGTTTCTGGTAAATTCCCATGCTGAATCCAAAAATGGACTCAGAATGGACCTAGGTCCATTGTTTCATCAAAATTCCCGAAAATTTTTTATTTTGAACAATTTGTACTATTATTTTGGGATCTTAAGGCTGAGGGAAAATTGAAATTTGCCATTTCAGACTAAAATCTATGCTGAATCCGAAAATGGTTTCAGAATTGAGCTAGGTCCAATATTTCATAAAAATTTCAGCACAACAATTTTGAATAAAATATCCCACGAAATTCCTTGTAACATCAAGATTTTTCCAATGTGAGAGGTTCTTGTCTTGGGTAGCAAATTTTTCAATAGTCAAGACAAGAACCCCCAAAATGTAGAGGAAATTTTGATATAACATACAATTTTGCAGTTAAATCGGCCTGAAATTTTGTTCGGAAATTTGGATGAAATATTGGTTTCAGGTCCATTATGAGCTCATTTTCAGATTCAGCATAAGTACTAATCTTGAATGTCAAATTTTGTCAGCTCTAGGCCACAAGACCCCGACATAATAGTGCAAATTGCTAAATATAAAAAATTTTTCGGGAATTTAGATGAAATATTGGTCCCAGGTCCATTCTGACTTCATTTTTGGATTCAGCATGGGATTTTACCAGAAAGGTGAGTTTCCAGCCAGATTCGCCCAGTAGTTCCAAAATGTGAGGCAAAATTTAATAATAATTAGAAATTTTGACGACTATTGGACCTACATAAAAATTTCAAATTTATTTTTTTGTTTGCTTTAAACTCGAAAACTACTGGCCGAATCTGGCTGGAAACTCACCTTACTGGTAAATTCCAATGCTGAATCCGAAAATGGACACAGAATGGACCTAGGTCCATTGTTTCATCAAAATTCCCGAAAATTTTTTATTTTGAACAATTTGCACTATTATTTTGGGATCTTAAGGCTGAGGGAAACTGAAATTTGTAATTTAAGACTTCAATCTATGCTGAATCCGAAAATGGTTTCAGAATCGAGCTAGGTCCAATATTTCATCAAAATATCAGCACAAAAATTTTGAACGAAATATCCCACGAAATTCCATGTCACATCAAGGTTTTTCTGATATGAGAGGTTCTTGTCTTGGCTAGATAAGTAAGACAAGAGCCCCCAAACGTAGAGGAATGTTTAGAAAATTATGAGATTAAATTGAATGCAGATTCGGTGTGGGGATTCACCAGAAAGGATAGCTTCTTAGTTTGAAGCAAAAATAAGAAAACAGGTCTAGAAACCTGTAAAAACATACCTATCAACTTACCTCTGAATGTTTACATTTTCCAAGAATTAAACTCTTTTCGTTCTGATATTTAATAAAATTACTCAATAATTTTTCTTTATTTAATATTTAAACTTAATACTAATACATTTGCAATTAAAATTAACAATAATAACGGGGAGGGTATTATGCGCTTGTGCTGATGTTTGTAACACAAAAAGTATTGGTCCAACACCCACCTTAAAGCATAAAAATCGGGTCAGAATCTGAGTCGATTAAGCTATAGATTGAAATATACACTAGAATATAGACTAGACTATAGACTAGACTATAGACTAGACTATAGACTAGACTATAGACTAGACTATAGACTAGACTATAGACTAGACTATACACTTGACTATAGACTAGACTATTGACCTCACACTAGACTAGGCTATAGACTAGAGTATAGACTAGAGTATAGACTAAACTATAGACTATACTTTATAATAGACTAGACCGTAGAGTAGACTATAGACTAGACTATAGACTAGACTATAGACTAGACTATAGACTAGACTATAGACTAGACTATAGACTAGACTATAGACTAGACTATAGATTAGACTATAGACTAGACTATAGACTAGACTATAGACTAGACTATAGACTAGACTATAGACTAGACTATAGACTAGACTATAGACTAGACTATAGACTAGACTATAGACTAGACTATAGACTAGACTAGACTAGACTAGACTAGACTATAGACTAGACTATAGACTAGACTATAGACTAGACTATAGACTAGACTATAGACTAGACTATAGACTAGACTATAGACTAGACTATAGACTAGACTATAGACTAGACTATAGACTAGACTATAGACTAGACTATAGGCTAGACTATAGACTAGACTATAGACTAGACTATAGCTAGACTATAGACTAGACTATAGACTACACTATAGACTAGACTATAGACTAGACTATAGACTAGACTATAGACTAGACTATAGACTAGACTATAGACTAGACTATAGACAAGACTATAGACTAGACTATAGACTAGACTATAGACTAGACTATAGACTAGACTATAGACTAGACTATAGACTAGACTATAGACTAGACTATAGACTAGACTATAGACTAGACTATAGACTAGACTATAGACTAGACTATAGACTAGACTATAGACTAGACTATAGACTAGACTATAGACTAGACTATAGACTAGACTATAGACTAGACTATAGACTATAGACTAGACTAGACTATAGACTAGACTATAGACTAGACTATAGACTAGACTAGACTAGACTAGACTATAGACTAGACTATAGACTAGACTATAGACTAGACTATAGACTAGACTATAGACTAGACTATAGACTAGACTATAGATTAGACTATAGATTAGACTATAGATCAGACTATATACTAGACTATAGACTAGAATATAGACTACACTATAGACTTGACTATATACTAGACTATAGACTAGAATATAGACCATACTATAGACTTGACTATATACTAGACTATAGACTACACTATAGACTAGATTATAGACTAGACTATAGACTAGATTATAGACTAGACTATAGACTACACTATAGACTTGACTATATACTAGACTATAGACTAGACTATAGACTAGACTATAGACTAGACTATAGACTAGACTATAGACTAGACTATAGACTAGACTAGACTAGACTAGACTAGACTAATAGACTAGACTATAGACTAGACTATAGACTAGACTAGACTAGACTAGACTATAGACTAGACTATAGACTAGACTATAGACTAGACTATAGACTAGACTATACTAGACTGTAGACTAGACTATAGACTAGACTATAGACTAGACTATAGACTAGACTATAGACTAGACTATAGACTAAACTTTAGACTAGACTATAGACTAGACTATAGACTAGACTATAGACTAGACTATAGAATAGACTATAGACTAGACTATAGACTAGACTATAGACTAGACTATAGACTAGACTATAGATTAGACTATAGATTAGACTATATACTAGACTATAGACTAGAATATAGACTACACTATAGACTTGACTATATACTAGACTATAGACTAGAATATAGACCATACTATAGACTTGACTATATACTAGACTATAGACTACACTATAGACTAGATTATAGACTAGACTATAGACTACACTATAGACTTGACTATATACTAGACTGTAGACTACACTATAGACTAGATTATAGACTAGACTATAGACTACACTATAGACTAGACTACATACTAGATTATAAACTTGACTATATACAAGACTAAAAACTAGACTATAGATTAGGCCATTGACTTGACTATAGACTAGACTATAGATTAGGCAATTGACTTGACTGTAGGCTAGACTATATACTAGACTGAATACAATGTGGACTACTTATCAAATGTTTATTAGTTTGAAAAAGTACAGAATAAGTTGTGGGGGAATATTTCTTTTTGAATAAAACTCAGTTATTTATCAAAAAACAATAATATATTTTATTACGAGAATTTTAATCAAAATCTTAAAAAAAACAGTTGAATTTTTTTTATAATTAATTTTTTCTCTTTAGAGAAGTCTTAGAACTTACTAAAAAATCATCAAATTATAAATTTCTTGCATTTCTGCACAATTGGAAACAAATTAAAAAATATACATTCTCAGTAAGTAATATAATAAAAATAATAAAAGGAACCTTATAATTTTTAATAAAATTTTTTAACAAAATTAAAAATCATTGCTAATAAATGCATTTTTTAAGAAAAAAGGTCCCTTTAAAAAAGTATTTTATATACATTTAACAAAAATACTCTAAGCCCCCCCTTTAATTTAACACTTAAACTAAAAAAATCTTATTGTGTTACAAACTAAACTTATAATAATAATAATAATAATAAAACGTTTCATGTCTTTTTTAACTGGAATATTTTTCTTTCAATACTTTTCTTAAGATTTTACCGGTGGGATTTTTGGGTACTTCGTCTACAAAAATAATGCCACCCTCCAATTTCTTATAAACAGCCACTTTTTCAGCCACATAATTATAGATCTCCTCCTCTGTGGCCTGCATATTTTCTCTTAACACTACCAAGGCACGTGGAGCCTCTCCATTGATGGGATGGGGTATACCAAAGACAGCAGCCTCTAAAATTTTGGGATGATCTCTTAAAATGGCCTCTAACTCGGCCGGAGGTACTTGGAATCCCTTGACCTTAATCAATTCCTTCATACGATCAGTTATATAGAAATAGCCTTCGTCATCGTAATAGGCCACATCTCCAGTACGTAACCAGCCTCCAGGATAGAAAGTATCTCTTGTAGCTTCTTCGTTATTCAAATAGCCCTCCATAACTTGAGGCCCTCTTACACATAGTTCACCAGTTTGATTGGGTCCTAAACCCTTGTGATCTTGACCATCTAGAGGAACAATTTTAGCTTCAGTATGGGGGGTCGGGAAGCCGGTAGAAGCATAACGTGTATTATCTGAGGCAGTCATGAGTACTACGGGGGAGGCTTCGGTCATGCCGTAGCCCTGAAGGAACTTAGTTTTGGGGAACCTAAGGAAATGAGAAATGAAGACAATGTTAAAAATTTTGGTTCTAGTTCTGTTCTAGTTCTGTTCTAGTTCTGTTCTAGTTCTGTTCTAGTTCTGTTCTAGTTCTGTTCTAGTTCTGTTCTAGTTCTGTTATAGTTCTGTTCTAGTTCTGTTCTAGTTCTGTTCTAGTACTGTTCTAGTACTGTTCTAGTTCTGTTCTAGTTCTGTTCTAGTTCTGTTCTAGTTCTGTTCTAGTTCTGTTCTAGTTCTGTTCTAGTTCTGTTCCAGTTCTGTTCTAGTTCTGTTCTAGTTCTGTTCTAGTTCTGTTATAGTTCTGTTCTAGTTCTGTTTAGTTCTGTTCTAGTTCTGTTCTAGTTCTGTTCTAGTTCTGTTCTAGTTCTGTTTCTAGTTCTGTTCTAGTTCTGTTCTAGTTCTGTTCTAGTTCTGTATTCTAGTTCTGTTCTAGTTCTGTTCTAGTTCTGTTCCAGTTCTGTTCTAGTTCTGTTCTAGTTCTGTTCTAGTTCTGTTCTAGTTCTGTTCTAGTTCTGTTCTAGTTCTGTTCTAGTTCTGTTCTAGTTCTATTCTAGTTCTGTTCTAGTTCTGTTCTAGTTCTGTTCTAGTTCTGTTCTAGTTCTGTTCTAGTTCTGTTCTAGTTCTATTCTAGTTCTGTTCTAGTTCTGTTCTAGTTTTTCTGTTCTAGTTCTGTTCTAGTTTCTGTTCTAGTTCTGTTCTAGTTCTGTTCTAGTTCTGTTCTAGTTCTGTTCTAGTTCTGTTCTAGTTCTGTTCTAGTTTCTGTTCTAGTTCTGTTCTAGTTCTGTTCTAGTTCTGTTCTAGTTCTGTTCTATTTCTGTTCTAGTTCTGTTCTAGTTCTGTTCTAGTTCTGTTCTAGTTCTGTTCTAGTTCTGTTTCCTAGTTCTGTTCTAGTTCTAGTTCTGTTCTAGTTCTGTTCTAGTTCTGTTCTAGTTCTGTTCTAGTTCTGTTCTAGTTCTGTTCTAGTTCTGTTCTAGTTCTGTTCTAGTTCTGTTCTAGTTCTGTTCTAGTTCTGTTCTAGTTCTGTTCTAGTTCTGTTCTAGTTCTGTTCTAGTTCTGTTCTAGTTCTGTTCTAGTTCTGTTCTAGTTCTGTTCTAGTTCTGTTCTAGTTCTGTTCTAGTTCTGTTCTAGTTCTGTTCTAGTTCTGTTCTAGTTCTGTTCTAGTTCTGTTCTAGTTCTGTTCTAGTTCTGTTCTAGTTCTGTTCTAGTTCTGTTCTAGTTCTGTTCTAGTTCTGTTCTAGTTCTGTTCTAGTTCTGTTCTAGTTCTGTTCTAGTTCTGTTCTAGTTCTGTTCTAGTTCTGTTCTAGTTCTGTTCTAGTTCTGTTCTAGTTCTGTTCTAGTTCTGTTCTAGTTCTGTTCTAGTTCTGTTCTAGTTCTGTTCTAGTTCTGTTCTAGTTCTGTTCTAGTTCTGTTCTAGTTCTGTTCTAGTTCTGTTCTAGTTCTGTTCTAGTTCTGTTCTAGTTCTGTTCTAGTTCTGTTCTAGTTCTGTTCTAGTTCTGTTCTAGTTCTGTTCTAGTTCTGTTTTAGTTCTGTTTTAGTTCTGTTCTAGTTCTGTTCTAGTTCTGTTCTAGTTCTGTTCTAGTTCTGTTCTAGTTCTGTTCTAGTTCTCTTCCAGTCCTCTTCCAGTCCTCTTGTAGTTCTGTTCCAGTTCTATTCTAGTTCAGTTCCTTAAACTTACTTCTTTATAAAACGTTCTACATCTGTTACACCAATGGGAGCTGCACCGCTCAAAACCACTCGTAGTTCGGGGCAAGTTTCCTGTGTAACCTTAGGATGATTAATCATGAAAAGAGCTATAAACAAAAACTACATTAAAGACAAAATAATCCCATTTATATTACTAACACTACTTACCTATTGGTGGCACCACATTCAACATCGTACTCTTATACTCATACAAAGCTTTCATCAAATCTTCTGGTTTAAATTGAGGCAATGTCACCAGTTTAGCACCCTGTCCCAATTTCGATATCATTATCACCGTCAGGCCATAAATGTGGAAGAATGGCAGGACACAGGGTAAAACTTCTTGCTTTTTAGTACAATCTACATCCAAAACACACTGAACCATTTCACAATTTGATGAGATATTCCGGTGGGATAGCATAACACCCTTGGGCAAACCGGTAGTACCCGAAGAGAAGGGTAAGAAAACCATACTATTGGGATTTACGTCGTATTGTTTTAATTGTGAAAAATCTACATCTCCACTATATTTGAAAAGTTCATAGAAATCGATGGCTCCTGCCGGCAGTGCATCACTGGGATTCATGCGTACACAGGCAATGGGTAATTGTTTTTTAGCTAACTTACAGGCTTCTACTAGGACGGAGTAACCCACCGAAGTGCCTATAATAAATTTGGCATTGCTGAAGGTTAATTGTCGGGCAATTTCCTCTGGAAGAAATGAAGTGAGAGAAGATTTTTTATTTTAAATGGAATTAATTTTTTTATTTTTGTTTTGTGATGTGTTTTTGTTGCTGTATATTTTATGCACATTTTTGCAATCTTCTGCAACAATGTGTTGCAGTCATCGCTAAAATTAGATTTTTGCATTGTGATTCATGCTGCACATCGCTGCGGGAATGTGCTGCTACTAGCAGTTTGTTGTCATATTCAGTCTCATAAATTCTTTTTAATTTTTTTAGAAAAAAAGACTACAACAGATTGGATTATAGACTCTAATATAGACTAACCTAGAGACTAGACTTAAGGCTAGAAAAATTACTAGATTTTTGGCAAGACTATAGAAAATAGAAAAGGCTATACTCTAGATTGACTAGACTATAGAGTAGACTAAAGACTAGACTATGGACTAGACTATAGATTAGTTTATAGACTAGACTATAGAATAGACTATAGAATAGACTATAGACTAGACTGTAGACTAGACTATAGACTAGATTATAGACTAGACTATAGACTAGACTATAGACTAGACTATAGACTAGACTATAGACTAGAGTATAGACTAGACTATAGACTAGACTATAGACTAGACTAGACTATAGACTAGACTATAGACTAGACTATAGACTAGACTATAGACTAGACTGTAGACTGCAGTACAGACTAGTCTATATACTAGACTATAGACTAGACTATAAACTAGAATATAGACTAGACTATGAACTAGATTATGGACTAGACTATAGACTAGACTATAGACTACACTGTAGACTAGACCATAGACTAGACTATAGACTAGATTATAGACTAGACTATAGAATAGACTATAGACTAGGCTATAGGCTAGACTATGAACTAGACTATAGACTAGACTATAGACTAGACTATAGACTAGACTATATACTAGACTATAGACTAGACTATAGACTAGACTATAGACTAGACTATAGACTAGACTATAGACTAGACTATAGACTAGACCATAGACTAGACTATAGACTAGACTATAGACTAGACTACAGACTAGACTATAAACTAAACTATAGACTAGACTATAGACTAGACTATAGACTAGATTATAGACTAGACTATAGACTAGACTATAGACTAGACCATAGACTAGACTATAGACTAGACTATAGACTAGACTATAAACTAGACTATAGACTAGACTATATACTAGACTATAGACTAGACTATAGACTAGACTATAGACTAGACTATAGACTAGACTATAGACTAGACTATAGACTAGACTATAGACTAGACTATAGACTAGACTATAGACTAGACTATAGACTAGACTATAGACTAGACTATAGACTAGACTATAGACTAGACTATAGACTAGACTATAGACTAGACTATAGACTAGACTATAGACTAGACTATAGACTAGACTATAGACTAGACTATAGACTAGACTATAGACTAGAATATAGACTAGACTATAGACTAGACTATAGACTAGACTATAGACTAGACTATAGACTAGACTATAGACTATAGACTAGACTAGAGACTAGACTAGACTATAGACCTAGACTAGACTATAGACTAGGACTATAGACTAGACTATAGACTAGACTATAGACTAACTATAGACTAGACTATAGACTAGACTATAGACTAGACTATAGACTAACTATAGACTAGACTATATAGACTAGACTATAGACTAGACTAAGACTAGACTTTAGACTAACTTAGACTAGACTATAGACTAGACTATAGACTAGGACTATAGACTAGACTATAGACTAGTCTATGACTAGTCTATAGTCTAGTCTACTATAGACTACTATAGACTAGACTATAGATTAGTCTATAGATTAGAATAGACTGTAGACTAGACTATAGACTACACTGTAACTAGACTATAGAGTAGACTATAGACTAGACTATAGACTAGGCTATAAGCTTAGACTATAGACTAGACTATAGACTAGACTATAGACTAGACTATAAACTAGACTATAGACTACACTGTAAACTAGACTACAGACTACACTGTAAACTAGACTATTGACTAGACTAGACTAGACTAGACTAGACTAGACTAGACTAGACTATAGACTATAGACTATAGACTATAGACTATAGACTATAGACTATAGACTATAGACTATAGACTATAGACTATAGACTATAGACTATAGACTATAGACTATAGATTATAGACTATAGACTATAGACTAGACTAGACTAGACTATAGACTAGACTATAGATTAGTCTATAGATTAGACTAGACTATAGACTTGACTATAGGCTATACTATAGAGTAGACTATAGACCAGACTAGAGACTAGACTATAGACTAGACTATAGACTAGACTATATAGACTATAGACTAGACTATAGACTAGACTATAGACTAGACTATAGACCAGACTATAGAGTGGACTATAGACTAGACTGTAGACTAAACTATAGACTAGACTGTAGACTAGACTGCAGACTAGACTGTAGACTAGACTATAGACTAGAAAACTAGAAACTAAAAAACTAACTAACTAACTAACTAACTAACTAACGAACTAACTAACTAACTAACTAACTAACTAACTAACTAACTAACTAACTAACTAACTAACTAACTAACTAACTAACTAACTAACTAACTAACTAACTAACTAACTAACTAACTAACTACTAACTAACTAACTAACTAACTAACTAACTAACTAACTAACTAACTAACTAACTAACTAACTAACTAACTAACTAACTAACTAACTAACTAACTAACTAACTAACTAACTAACTAACTAACTAACTAACTAACTAACTACTAACTAACTAACTAACTAACTAACTAACTAACTAACTAACTAACTAACTAACTAACTAACTAACTAACTAACTAACTAACTAACTAACTAACTAACTAACTAACTAACTAACTAACTAACTAACTAACTAACTAACTAACTAACTAACTAACTAACTAACTAACTAACTAACTAACTAACTAACTAACTAACTAACTAACTAACTAACTAACTAACTAACTAACTAACTAACTAACTAACTAACTAACTAACTAACTAACTAACTAACTAACTACTAACCTAACTAACTAACTAACTAACTAACTAACTAACTAACTAACTAACTAACTAACTAACTACTAGCTAACTAACTAACTAACTAACTAACTAACTAACCACTAACTAACTAACTAACTAAATAACTAACCAACTAACTAACTAACTAGACTATAGATAGACCAGACTATAGACAGACTAGACAATAAACTAGACTTGACTTATCATTAGGCTATAGTTAAACTAGACTATAGCATTAAATTAATAACGTTTTTGGTGATTTAACTGTAGAAATTTGCAATTATTTAATAATACAGATTAAATTATAATTGTTTTTGTATAAAAGTCACAAGAACACATATGGGTTTTATTTTTATAAATGTCAACGCATAAATAATTTGAAATTTAATCACCATTCATAAAGATAATTACATTAGCAAATGTTGTATAAATATTAAAGATTAAAAAAGCATGTATAAAACAATTGTAAAACAAATTGTTAAATGGAATAGGAAAAAAGGTGTCAAGTTTCACTTTCAATTAATTGCAATTTATTAAGTTATAGTTATAAATATATTGAGTGTATAAAAAAATAATAATAATATAAAAATATTTATATTTAAATTGTAATTTATAACTTAATTTTAGTTTTTTTTTAATTACTATTCTTTACTAGTATGTATTAGTTTATTGTAGCTTATCTTAATAGCACCTGAGGTCTAGAACCCCTTTTGAAAATCTAGAATTTGCTTTAAAACAATTAAACAGATTTTAATGATTTTGTGAAATTTTTTTATCTGTCACCCATAAACATTTGCTCACCGTTTAAATAATAAGACGTGTGACTTTTGCTAGAAATTAGGTCATTACCCCGGAGACTTTGCACCCCCTCTAAATTGTGGACTTTTCTTTTATGGCACGATTTTTAATCTTATCTGCTAAAAATATTTAAAAAGTCATGTACATATTTGTTTGAATATACTTCTAATAAAGCGTTTAAAATGTTTTGCTTTATAATAACTACTCGATTAGATACTATTTCTGAAAAGGTGGGTGGGGGTTTTTTAATAGAAATCCAACAATTTAATTATTAACCTGCGCCTGCTGTGTTAAATATTTTGTATTTTTGCCAAAAATTTACGCATTATGAAAATTTAATTAATTTTTTTATACAAAAAAAAAACCGGCAAATTTATTGGCAAACAAATTTGAAACAACAAGAAAAATAAACAATTTAAAGTGTGGCGCAAATAATTGTTTAAATTGCAAGAAAATTCAAAAAAGTATAAAAAACAAAGTTCAAGGTTGGACTAGAATCATAACATATATACCAAATAGAATCACTTACCAGTAATCCAAAAATCATTAGTTTAATAACAAAATATCAAAACAGTTTATTGATCTTTTTCTACATTAATATAAATCTTTTTCAGTTAAATTCTTTTACGCTATTTTATACATTTAACGATTTTTTCTACCACAGATCGATCGACTGACTGAGTTTTTTTATATACATTACATTCATGCCAATTTTACCTTGAACAAAGTCCATTGATCGCTTTAGATAGTGAGTGGATGGTTTGGTTGGTTATTATTAGTATTAATGCGAAATTGTTTTAAATTGTTGCTATTTATTTGTTTAAAAATGTTATATATAAAAACAATAATAATTGACTGATTGCACTTTAAAATTATTGAGGCAAAAAAGTAAATAATTCAATTTTCACCAAATTTATCAAATTTTAACTTATGTATATCCATTAAGTTTTTAAAAGATACATTTTACAGTCTAGTCTATAGTCTATAGTCGAGACTATAGTCTAGTCTATAGTCTAGTCTATAGTCTAGTCTATAGTCTAGTCTATAGTCTAGTCTATAGTCTAGTCTATAGTCTAGTCTATAGTCTAGTCTATAGTCTAGTCTATAGTCTAGTCTATAGTCTAGTCTATAGTCTAGTCTATAGTCTAGTCTATAGTCTAGTCTATAGTCTAGTCTATAGTCTAGTCTATAGTCTAGTCTATAGTCTAGTCTATAGTATAGTCTATAGTAGCTTAGTAGTCTATAGTCTAGTCTATAGCTAGTCTATAGTCTAGTCTATAGTCTAGTCTATAGTTAGTCTATAGTCTAGTCTATAGTCTAGTCTATAGTCTAGTCTATAGTCTAGTCTATAGTCTAGTCTATAGTCTAGTCTATAGTCTAGTCTATAGTCTAGTCTATAGTCTAGTCTATAGTCTAGTCTATAGTCTAGTCTATAGTCTAGTCTATAGTCTAGTCTATAGTCTAGTCTATAGTCTAGTCTATAGTCTAGTCTATAGTCTAGTCTATAGTCTAGTCTATAGTCTAGTCTATAGTCTAGTCTATAGTCTAGTCTATAGTCTAGTCTATAGTCTAGTCTATAGTCTAGTCTATAGTCTAGTCTATAGTCTAGTCTATAGTCTAGTCTATAGTCTAGTCTATAGTCTAGTCTATAGTCTAGTCTATAGTCTAGTCTATAGTCTAGTCTATAGTCTAGTCTATAGTCTAGTCTATAGTCTAGTCTATAGTCTAGTCTATAGTCTAGTCTATAGTCTAGTCTATAGTCTAGTCTATAGTCTAGTCTATAGTCTAGTCTATAGTCTAGTCTATAGTCTAGTCTATAGTCTAGTCTATAGTCTAGTCTATAGTCTAGTCTATAGTCTAGTCTATAGTCTAGTCTATAGTCTAGTCTATAGTCTAGTCTATAGTCTAGTCTATAGTCTAGTCTATAGTCTAGTCTATAGTCTAGTCTATAGTCTAGTCTATAGTCTAGTCTATAGTCTAGTCTATAGTCTAGTCTATAGTCTAGTCTATAGTCTAGTCTATAGTCTAGTCTATAGTCTAGTCTATAGTCTAGTCTATAGTCTAGTCTATAGTCTAGTCTATAGTCTAGTCTATAGTCTAGTCTATAGTCTAGTCTATAGTCTAGTCTATAGTCTAGTCTAGTCTATAGTCTAGTCTAGTCTATAGTCTAGTCTAGTCTATAGTCTAGTCTAGTCTAGTCTATAGTCTAGTCTAGTCTATAGTCTAGTCTAGTCTATAGTCTAGTCTATAGTCTAGTCTATAGTCTAGTCTATAGTCTAGTCTATAGTCTAGTCTATAGTCTAGTCTATAGTCTAGTCTATAGTCTAGTCTATAGTCTAGTCTATAGTCTAGTCTATAGTCTAGTCTATAGTCTAGTCTATAGTCTAGTCTATAGTCTAGTCTACAGTCTAGTCTATAGTCTAGTCTATAGTCTAGTCTATAGTCTAGTCTATAGTCTAGTCTATAGTCTAGTCTATAGTCTAGTCTATAGTCTAGTCTATAGTCTAGTCTATAGTCTAGTCTAGTCTATAGTCTAGTCTAGTCTAGTCTATAGTCTAGTCTAGTCTATAGTCTAGTCTATAGTCTAGTCTATAGTCTAGTCTATAGTCTAGTCTATAGTCTAGTCTATAGTCTAGTCTATAGTCTAGTCTAGTCTATAGTCTAGTCTAGTCTAGTCTATAGTCTAGTCTAGTCTAGTCTATAGTCTAGTCTCTATAGTCTAGTCTAGTCTATAGTCTAGTCTAGTCTATAGTCTATAGTCTAGTCTAGTCTATAGTCTATAGTCTAGTCTAGTCTAGTCTAGTCTATAGTCTAGTCTAGTCTATAGTCTATAGTCTAGTCTAGTCTAGTCTATAGTCAGTCTAGTCTATAGTCTAGTCTAGTCTATAGTCTAGTCTAGTCTATAGTCTAGTCTAGTCTATAGTCTAGTCTATAGTCTAGTCTATAGTCTAGTCTATAGTCTAGTCTATAGTCTAGTCTATAGTCTAGTCTATAGTCTAGTCTATAGTCTAGTCTATAGTCTAGTCTATAGTCTAGTCTATAGTCTAGTCTATAGTCTAGTCTATAGTCTAGTCTATAGTCTAGTCTATAGTCTAGTCTATAGTCTAGTCTATAGTCTAGTCTATAGTCTAGTCTATAGTCTAGTCTATAGTCTAGTCTATAGTCTAGTCTAGTCTATAGTCTAGTCTATAGTCTAGTATAGTCTAGTCTATATAGTCTAGTCTATAGTCTAGTCTATAGTCTAGTCTATAGTCTAGTCTATAGTCTAGTCTATAGTCTAGTCTATAGTCTAGTATAGTCTAGTCTATAGTCTAATCTATAGTCTAGTCTATAGTCTAGTCTATAGTCTAGTCTATAGTCTAGTCTATAGTCTAGTCTATAGTCTAGTCTATAGTCTAGTCTATAGTCTAGTCTATAGTCTAGTCTATAGTCTAGTCTATAGTCTAGTCTATAGTCTAGTCTATAGTCTAGTCTATAGTCTGTTGTCTATAGTCTAGTCTATAGTCAGTCTATAGTCTAGTCTATAGTCTAGTCTATAGTCTAGTCTATAGTCTAGTCTATAGTCTAGTCTATAGTCTAGTCTATAGTCTAATCTATAGTCTAGTCTATAGTCTAGTCTATAGTCTAGTCTATAGTCTAGTCTATAGTCTAGTCTATAGTCTAGTCTATAGTCTAGTCTATAGTCTAGTCTATAGTCTAGTCTATAGTCTAGTCTATAGTCTAGTCTATAGTCTAGTCTATAGTCTAGTCTATAGTCTAGTCTATAGTCTAGTCTATAGTCCTAGTCTATAGTCTAGTCTATAGTCTAGTCTATAGTCTAGTCTATAGTCTAGTCTATAGTCTAGTCTATAGTCTAGTCTATAGTCTAGTCCTAGTCTAGTCTAGTCTATAGTCTAGTCTATAGTCTAGTCTATAGTCTAGTCTATAGTCTAGTCTATAGTCTAGTCTATAGGTCTAGTCTATAGTCTAGTCTATAGTCTAGTCTATAGTCTAGTCTATAGTCTAGTCTATAGTCTAGTCTATAGTCTAGTCTATAGTCTAGTCTATAGTCTAGTCTATAGTCTAGTCTATAGTCTAGTCTATGTCTAGTCTAGTCTCTAGTCTATAGTCTAGTCTATAGTCTAGTCTATAGTCTAGTCTATAGTCTAGTCTATAGTCTAGTCTATAGTCTAGTCTATAGTTAGTCTATAGTCTAGTCTATAGTCTAGTCTATAGTCTAGTCTATAGTCTAGTCTATAGTCTAGTCTATAGTCTAGTCTATAGTCTAGCTCTATAGTCTAGTCTATAGTCTAGTCTATAGTTCTCGTCTATAGTCTAGTCTATAGTTCTAGTCTATAGGTCTAGTCTATAGTCTAGCTCTATAGTCTAGTCTATAGTCTAGTCTATTAGTCTAGTCTATAGTCTCGTCTATAGTCTAGTCTAGTTTAGTGCTAGGTCTATAGTCTATAGTATAGTCTATAGTCTAGGTCTATAGTCTAGTCTATAGTCTAGTCTATTAGTCTAGTCTATAGTCTAGTCTATGTCTCGTCTTAGTCTATAGTCTAGTCTATAATTCTAGTCTATTGTCTAGTTCCTATAGTCTAGTCTATAATTTAGTCTATAGTCTAGCCTATGTTTAGTCTATAAGTCGTCTATAGTCTAGTCTATAGTCTAGTCTATAGTCTAGTCTATAGTCTAGCCTATAGCCTAGTCTATAGTCTATTCTAGTCTAGTCTATAGTCTAGTCTGTAATCTAGTCTATAGACGAGTCTATACTGTAGTCTATAATCTAGTCTATTGTACAGTCTAGTCTATTCTATAGTCTATAGTCTAGTCTATAGTGTAGTTTATAGTCTATTCTATAGTGTAGTCTATAGTCTAGTATATAGTCTAGTCTATAGTCTAGTCTATGGTTTATTCAAAAGTCTAGTCTATTATATGGTCTAGTCCATAGTGTAGTCTATAGTCTAGTCTGTAGTCTAGTCTTTATCCTAATATCTAGTCTTGTCTACAGTATTTCTTTTTACTTACCAGCTGTATAAATCGGATTAACAGTGGTCACTGTCAAACCAGCCTCTATGGCACCCAAGACAGCACCCGGATATTCTGGTAAATTGGGCAAACAGACGGCTACAACATCACCCTGCACCAATTTGAATTTTGTTTGAAAACGTACCGCCAAAGCGGCACTAGAATCGCGTAATTCAGCATAAGTATATTGGCGGCCGGTAATGACATCGACCTGCAAAAAAAAAAAAAAATAGATATTTTTTTATAATTTAAATATAATAATTTTAAATATAAACTAATAAACAACAATAAAAATGTAAATTTTTTTAACACAACAATTTAAGAACAATTAAAATCAATTAAAGCCCGGCAAAGGTTGGGACGTATTTACATTATCGTAAACATTTGTTTGTGGTTTGATTACGGTAATATGTAATGACATACAGAGCTAAAAAGAGAGTGACAGAGAGAGTGAGTGTGAACTAGAAAGAAGGGCAATATCATTAAGCATCATTATTTAGCCATTAAAGATGTTAATTTAAATATTATTTTTAAACATTTAGATAGATTTTTTTAGGCAGCCATTTGTTAGTGTGTTGCGTTTTTATTTATTTATATATTTTTTAGTGAATTAAAATTTAAACGTTCAAAGTCCAATGTATCAATGTCCAAAGTCTAGTCTAGTCTAAATTATTTAGATTTATTTAGTTGTGAATATAAGTGTATGAGTGTCTGCTCAAATCAAAACAATCATAAACAGAGCATGCAAACGCCACTTGTTCACTCTCTCTATCTCTAGCCATTTGCTATTTGTTTATGTTTTGATAAGAGAGAGATATTACTGTTGTTTTTATCAGGTTGTTGTTGTTAAACTAATGATAATTTACCGGTTTAAATTATATGATTTAACAATGTTTGTGCTTGTCATTGTGATGATAAATATGTGTGCAATCTAATAATGTTTGGAGTAGAGTGACGTCAATTTTCAAATCAAACTACAGTGAGAGAAATAGAATCGAGTTATTTGTATTATAAGGCGGGTCATGAACTTGAGTTCTTGTGAAACGGATTTAAATGATTATTTTTAATAAATAAAATTTTAAAACAAAAAGGAAATTAAATTAACTATAATAATTTTTTAAAATTTTTATAAAATTTCGACATTTTAAAATAGTAGTAGAAAATACTACTTTTTTAAATTCCTGCCATACGATCAAAATTTAATTGCTTACTTTATTTTTAATAATAAGAACAACAAAAATGCTCGATTTTTATCAATTTAGTTCTTTTTTCAAATAGTAGTAGATATACATACTACTTTTTTCAAATGGCTTAAAAACTGAAATTTTCTATATATTTATTTAATATTAAGCTAATAACACCAAAAATCTATGTTTTTATGAAATTTCGACATTTCCAAATAGTAGTAGAAAATACTACTTTTTTTAAATGCATGCTAAAAGTCAGAAAATGCAATTGTTTACTTTATTTTTAATAATAAGAACAACAGAAATGCTCGATTTTATCAAAATAGTACGTTTTTACAAATAGTAGTAGAAATACTACTTTTTTAAATGGCTTAAAATTTAAATTTTTTATAACTTTTTCTTTAATATTAAGGAAATATCTCTAAAAAATCTAATTTTTTTATAAAATATTTACATTTTGAAATAGTAGTAGAAAATACTACTTTTTTAAAATGCACGCCAAAAGTGAAAAACTTAATTGTTTACTTTATTTTTAATAATAAGAACAACAGAAATGCTTGATTTTATCAAAATAGTACGTTTTTACAAATAGTAGTAGAAATACTACTTTTTTAAATGGCTTAAAATTTAAATTTTTTATAACTTTGTCTGTAATATTAAGGAAATGACTCAAAAAATCTAAATTTTTTATGAAATTTTTACATTTTAAAGTAGTAGTAGAAAATACTACTTTTTTAAAATGCACTCCAAAAGTGAAAAACTTAATTGTTTACTTTATTTTTAATATAAGAACAACAGAAATGCTCGATTTTATCAAAATAGTACTTTTTTTCAAATAGTAGTAGAAATATGTAATACTTTTTTTCAAATCGCTTAAAATTGAATTTTTTTTAACTTTTTCTTCAATATTAAGCAAATGTCTCTAAAAATCTCAATTTTTTATGATATTCCGACATCTTAAAATAGTAGTAGAAAATACTACTTTTTTAAAATCTTGCGAAAAGACCGAAATTTAACTTTTCACTTTAATTTTAATGACAAGAACAACAATATAGCTCAACTTTATAGTTTTAGTATGTTTTTGAAAATAGTAGTAAAAATACTACTCTTTTTAAATTGATTAAAACTTACATTTTCTAAACTAATTACAAAACTCTCTATAAAATGGAAAAATTTATTTTTAAATAACAAAACAAAAATAATATTTGATGTCAAGTTTATCATTATTTAGTAGATTATTTTTTATTATTAATTACAGTATTTTATTTAAATACTCAACAACAACAAACAAATATACACTAATAACAGTAATTATGTGAATTACTATACATATTACAAAATCTGTAAAAAGATTGAAAATGTGAACTAGAAGTGATGTAACTTTATTAAACATTCACAATAGAGACAGAGCGGAAAAGGGAAGACAATTAGTGCATACAATGTGACTTTTTCTTAGAGGCTAAGGTACAATAAAATGATAAGAATTTAATAAAAAAAATTAAAATAAATTAAACAAATGCAATTAATGTAAACGAAATGACTTTATAATGTTTATTTTAAATTTATTTAAAAACAACGTAATTTAGAATATATTATAAATGGAATACTTTAAACTTATATACACCCATAGCCTATATTATAAATTAGATTATAGTTCGGAATATAGATTAATCATTAGTCTTGAATATAGTTCCGACTATGGACTAAACTATAGTTCAAACAATGGCTTAATATGGAATCTAGACTATGCTATAAACCAGATAATAGACATGTCTATGGATTATAGACTAGCCCATCTAAATTATACACCATCTAGAGTTTAGTATAGTCTATAGAGAAGAATATAGACTAGTCTACTCTATAGTCTAGTCTATAGTCTAGTCTATAGTCTAGTCTATAGTCTAGTCTATAGTCTAGTCCATAGTCTAGTCTACAGTCTAGTATATAGTCTAGTCTATAGTCTAGTCTACAGTCTAGTCAAGTCTATAGTCTAGTCTATAATCTAGTCTATAGTCTAGTCTATAGTTTAGTCTATAGTCCAGAGTATAAACTAGTCTATAGTCCAGAGTATAGACTAGTCAATAGTTCAGAGTATAAACTAGTCTGTAGTTCAGAGTATAAACTAGTCTATAGTTCAGAGTATAAACTAATCTCTAGTTTAGAATGTAGTCTAGTCAAAAGCATAGTCTATAGTCTAGTCTATAGTCTGGTCTATAGTCTAGTCAATAGTCTAGTCTATAGTCTAGTCTATAATCTAGTCTATAGTCTAGTCTATAGTCTAGTCTATAGTCCAGAGTATAGACTAGTCTATAGTTCAGAGTATAAACTAGTCTATAATTCAGAGTATAAACTAGTCTATAGTTCAGAGTATAAACTAATCTCTAGTTTAGAATGTAGTCTAGTCAAAAGCATAGTCTATAGTCTAGTCTATAGTCTGGTCTATAGTCTAGTCAATAGTCTAGTCTGTAGTCTAGTCTATAATCTAGTCTATAGTCTAGTCTATAGTCTAGTCTATAGTCCAGAGTATAGACTAGTCTATAGTTCAGAGTATAAACTAGTATAAACTAGTCTATAGTTCAGAGTATAAACTAATCTCTAGTTTAGAATGTAGTCTAGTCAAAAGCATAGTCTATAGTCTAGTCAATAGTCTAGTCTATAGTCTAGTCTATAGTCTAGTCTATAGTCTAGTATATAGTCTAGTCTATAGTCTAGTCTATAGTCTAGTCTATAGTCTAGTCTATAGTCTAGTCTATAGTCTAGTCTATAGTCTAGTCTATAGTCTAGTCTATAGTCTAGTCTATAGTCTAGTCTATAGTCTAGTCTATAGTCTAGTCTATAGTCTAGTCTATAGTCTAGTCTATAGTCTAGTCTATAGTCTAGTCTATAGTCTAGTCTATAGTCTAGTCTATAGTCTAGTCTATAGTCTAGTCTATAGTCTAGTCTATAGTCTAGTCTATAGTCTAGTCTATAGTCTAGTCTATAGTCTAGTCTATAGTCTAGTCTATAGTCTAGTCTATAGTCTAGTCTATAGTCTAGTCTATAGTCTAGTCTATAGTCTAGTCTATAGTCTAGTCTATAGTCTAGTCTATAGTCTAGTCTATAGTCTAGTCTATAGTCTAGTCTATAGTCTAGTCTATAGTCTAGTCTATAGTCTAGTCTATAGTCTAGTCTATAGTCTAGTCTATAGTCTAGTCTATAGTAGTCTAGTCTATAGTCTAGTCTATAGTCTAGTCTATAGTCTAGTCTATAGTCTAGTCTATAGTCTAGTCTATAGTCTAGTCTATAGTCTAGTCTATAGTCTAGTCTAGTCTAGTCTAGTCTATAGTCTAGTCTATAGTCTAGTCTATAGTCTAGTCTATAGTCTAGTCTATAGTCTAGTCTATAGTCTAGTCTATAGTCTAGTCTATAGTCTAGTCTATAGTCTAGTCTATAGTCTAGTCTATAGTCTAGTCTATAGTCTAGTCTATAGTCTAGTCTATAGTCTAGTCTATAGTCTAGTCTATAGTCTAGTCTATAGTCTAGTCTATAGTCTAGTCTATAGTCTAGTCTATAGTCTAGTCTATAGTCTAGTCTATAGTCTAGTCTATAGTCTAGTCTCTAGTCTAGTCTATAGTCTAGTCTATAGTCTAGTCAAGTCTATAGTCTAGTCAAGTCTATAGTCTAGTCTATAATCTAGTCTATAGTCTAGTCTATAGTTTAGTCTATAGTCCAGAGTATAAACTAGTCTATAGTCCAGAGTATAGACTAGTCAATAGTTCAGAGTATAAACTAGTCTGTAGTTCAGAGTATAAACTAGTCTATAGTTCAGAGTATAAACTAATCTCTAGTTTAGAATGTAGTCTAGTCAAAAGCATAGTCTATAGTTTAGTCTATAGTCTGGTCTATAGTCTAGTTAATAGTCTAGTCTATAGTCTAGTCTATAATCTAGTCTATAGTCTAGTCTATAGTCTAGTCTATAGTCCAGAGTATAGACTAGTCTATAGTTCAGAGTATAAACTAGTCTATAGTTCAGAGTATAAACTAATCTCTAGTTTAGAATGTAGTCTAGTCAAAAGCATAGTCTATAGTAGTTCAGAGTATAAACTAGTCTATAGTTCAGAGTATAAACTAATCTCTAGTTTAGAATGTAGTCTAGTCAAAAGCATAGTCTATAGTTTAGTCTATAGTCTGGTCTATAGTCTAGTTAATAGTCTAGTCTATAGTCTAGTCTATAATCTAGTCTATAGTCTAGTCTATAGTCTAGTCTATAGTCCAGAGTATAGACTAGTCTATAGTTCAGAGTATAAACTAGTCTATAGTTCAGAGTATAAACTAGTCTATAGTTCAGAGTATAAACTAATCTCTAGTTTAGAATGTAGTCTAGTCAAAAGCATAGTCTATAGTCTAGTCTATAGTCTGGTCTATAGTCCAGTCTATAGTCTAGTCTATAATCTAGTCTATATTCTAGTCTATAGTCTAGTCTATAGTCCAGAGTATAGACTAGTCTATAGTTCAGAGTATAAACTAGTCTATTGTTCAGAGTATAAACTAGTCTATAGTTCAGAGTATAAACTAGTCTATAGTTCAGAGTATAAACTAATCTCTAGTTTAGAATGTAGTCTAGTCAAAAGCATAGTCTATAGTCTGGTCTATAGTCTAGTCAATAGTCTAGTCTAGTCTATAGTCTAGTCTATAGTGTAGTATATAGTCTAGTCTATAGTCTAGTCTATAGTCTAGTCTATATTCTATATGGGCTAGTTTATAGTCTAGAGTATAGTCAACTCTATAGTCTAGTCTATTTCCTAGTCTATAGTCTAGTCTGTATTCTATATGGACTAGCCTATGGCATCCAAGGTTTGTTACCCCTCATTAAGCCTAAAAATCTCATTAAATCCTCTAATCTTTTGTTTATTTGTTTTGTTCCAATATTTTATCACTTAATACGTTTGACGAAATCTTATCTTTGTTTTCTGCTGCTGCTTAACATTTCAATTATTATTTCTACACAATTATCTATTCAGATTATCTTCTATATTGTTTTTTTTTTTTTTTTCTAAAGTAGAAATAACCTACAACAATGTTTTTTCGTTAAGCTCCATATAGATAATGAAAATATAACAATAAAATGTATTATGATGTATTATATTTAAGTTTTATTGAATTGCTGTGAAAAAAACAGCCTCTAAATTGAAAAGTATCTCACATTATTATTAAGGAAAACTTAATGGATCAAAGCCGATACAAAGGCAAGAGAAATATGAGATGTTTTCTTTTGAAATTTTTTTAAAGAAATTAAGATCAATTGTATAAAATAGAGCAAAACCAGAGACATTTGAAAAATAAATTAAGGATTTTATAAAAAAAAAACGTTTCAAGGCTGTTTTTTAAATTTTACTTTGAGTTTTTTTTTTTAATCTTAAAGACTTACCGTTGCCACATTATTTTCCCATAATTTAAAATCACGCCAAACATATTTGTCCAACGATACATTGGGTATGATTGTATTCTCAAAGGGCGATGTCTTGATATAACCTTCTTCGTGGGAATAGTGCAGAAATTTATCGCCTTGATTATTTAAATTGGTTTCACCGGTGGCAGCCGCATTCTGTTGTTTATTATTGGTGTTAAATGAACGCGTTAAAGAGATGCTGCTGCAGCAGCTGCTGTTGGTTGCAGTTGGGGCACGGAACAATTGCGAAGCTAAGCGTACAGTAGAGGAACGCATCATGTTGTTAAAAGTAACCGTTTTTTTTCGAATTTGAATAAACAAAACACTTGATTTTTGTTATTTAATTTATTTTTTTTTTACTTTAACACTTTATTTTTATTTAAATAAATTTTCTTTTTTTTTATAATTTTTTTTTTATAAAAATTTATTCCCAGAAACTTGTTACCGCAGCCTTCAAAAGTCTAGACCAGACTGAAATTTGTATAAAAATTTGTTACGATCTTCCACCAGCGCAAACATTTATTGTGTTTTTTCTTCTCTATATTGTTTTTGTAAAACTTGTTTACAATAATAACAACAACAACGATAACAAAAACTCAATAAAATACAATAAAAGTGTGGCAGGCAGCAAGCAAGCCAACAAGTCCGTCATTCACTTTATCACTGTGATGCCTGTTGTTTTCTTTTTTTACTACACTGTGTTATTTGTTTTTGCTGTTTTTACTTTTGTTTACGTTTTTTTTTTGTTATCATTTAATCTCTCTCTTTCATTCGCTCTCTTTTAGTGTTATAGATTCTCACTGTTTGCCTTTCTTTACTCTACTGTAGATCAGGATTGGAAAATTCGTTCCTTTAGTGTTATAGTATACAGTAGAGTCTATAGTCTAGTCTTTAGTTTAGCCAATAGTCTAGTCTATAGTTTAGGTCTAGTATATAGCCTTGGCTATGGTCTGGTCTATAGTCTAGTCTATAGTTTAGTCTATGGTCCGGTATAAGTCTAGTTCATAGCTTATTCCATCGCTTAGTCTATAGTCTAGTCTACAGCCTAGTCTTTAGTCTAGCCTATAGTTTAGTCTATAGCCTAGTCTTTACTCTAGTCTACAGTTTAGTCTATAGCCTGGTCTGTAGTCTATTCTAGAGCCTAGTCTGTGGTCTAATCTGTAGTCTAGTAAGGCCTATGGTTCAGAGTACAGTTCAGTGTACAGTCTAGTCTATAGTCTAGTATATAGACTAGTCTATAGTTTAGTCTATAGTCTAGTATATAGTCTAGTCTATAGTCTAGTCTATAGTTTAGTCTATAGTCTAGTCTATAGACTAGTCTACAGTTTAGTCTACAGTGTAGTCTAAAGTCTAGTCTATAGTCTAGTCTAAAGTCTAGTCTATAGTCTAGTCTAGTCTAGTCTATAGCCTAGTCTAAAGTCTAGTCCATAGTCTAGTCCATATTCTAGTCTATAGACTTCACTATAGACTAGACTATAGACTAGACTATAGACTAGACTTTAGACTAGACTATAGACTAGACTTTAGACTAGACTACAGACTAGACTAGACTATAGACTAGACTAGACTAGACTATAGACTAGACTATAGACTAGACTATAGACTAGACTATAGACTAGATTATAGACTAGACTATAGACTAGACTATATACTAGACTATATACTAGACTATAGACTAGACTATAGACTAGACTATAGACTAGACTATAGACTAGACTATAGACTAGACTATAGACTAGACTATAGACTAGACTATAGACTAGACTATAGACTAGACTATAGACTAGACTATAGACTAGACTAGACTAGACTAGACTATAGACTAGACTATAGACTAGACTATAGACTAGACTATAGACTAGACTATAGACTAGACTATAGACTAGATTATAGACTAGACTATAGACTAGACTATATACTAGACTATATACTAGACTATAGACTAGACTATAGACTAGACTATAGACTAGACTATAGACTAGACTATAGACTAGACTATAGACTAGACTATACACTAGACTATAGACTGGACTATAGACTAGACTATCGACTAGACTATAGACTAGACTATAGACTAGACCTTATACTAGACTATAGACTAGACTATAGACTAGACTATAGACTAGACTATAGACTAGACTATAGACTAGACTATAGACTAGACTAGTCTAGTCTATAGTCTAGTCTATAGTCTAGTCTATAGTCTAGTCTATAGTCTAGTCTATAGTCTAGTATAAGGTCTAGTCTATAGTCTAGTCGATAGTCTAGTCGATAGTGTAGTCGATATTCTAGTCGATAGTCTAGTCTATAGTCTAGTCTATAGTCTAGTCTATAGTCTAGTCTATAGTCTAGTCTATAGTCTAGTCTATAGTCCAGTCTATAGTCTAGTCTATAGTCTAGTGTATAGTCTAGTCTATAGTCTAGTCTCTAGTCTAGTCTATAGTCTAGTCTATAGTCTAGTCTATAGTCTAGTCTATAGTCTAGTCTATAGTCTAGTCTAGTCTATAGTCTAGTCTAGTCTATAGTCTAGTCTAGTCTATAGTCTAGTCTAAAGTCTAGTCTATAGTCTAGTCTAAAGTCTAGTCTATAGTCTAGTCTATAGTCTAGTCTATAATGAAGTCTATAGACTAGAATATAGACTAGACTATGGACTAGACTTTAGACTAGGCTATAGACAACACTAGACTATAGACTAGACTTTAGACTAGACTATAGACTAGACTTTAGACTACACTGTAGACTAAACTGTAGACTAGTCTATAGACTAGACTATAGACTAAACTATAGACTAGACTATAGACTAGTCTAGTCGATAGTCTAGTCTATAGTCTAGTCTATAGTCTAGTCTATAGTCTAGTCTATAGTCTAGTCTATAGTCTAGTCTATAGTCTAGTCTATAATCTAGTCTATAGTCTAGTCTATAGTCTAGTCTATAGTCTAGTCTATAGTCTAGTCTAGTCTATAGTCTAGTCTAAAGTCTAGTCTAAAGTCTAGTCTATAGTCTAGTCTATAGTCTAGTCTATAGTCTAGTCTATAGTCTAGTCTATAGTCTAGTCTATAGTCTAGTCTATAGTCTAGTCTATAGTCTAGTCTATGGTCTAGTCTATAGTCTAGTCTATGGTCTAGTCTATAGTCTAGTCTATAGTCTAGTCTATAGTCTAGTCTAGTCTAGTCTAGTCTAGTCTATAGTCTAGTCTATAGTCTAGTCTATAGTCTAGTCTATAGTCTAGTCTATAGTCTAGTCTATAGTCTAGTCTATAGTCTAGTCTAGTCTATAGTCTAGTCTATAGTCTAGTCTATAGTCTAGTCTATAGTCTAGTCTATAGTTAGTCTATAGTCTAGTCTATAGTCTAGTCTATAGTCTAGTCTATAGTCTAGTCTATAGTCTAGTCTATAGGCTAGTCTATAGTCTAGTCTATAGTCTAGTCTATAGTCTAGTCTATAGTCTAGTGTATAGTCTAGTCTATAGTCTAGTCTATAGTCTAGTCTATAGTCTAGTATAAGGTCTAGTCTATAGTCTAGTCTATAGTCTAGTCTATAGTCTAGTCTATAGGCTAGTCTATAGTCTAGTCTATAGTCTAGTCTATAGTCTAGTCTATAGTCTAGTCTATAGTCTAGTCTATAGTCTAGTCTATAGTCTAGTCTATAGTCTAGTCTATAGTCTAGTCTATAGTCTAGTATAAGGTCTAGTCTATAGTCTAGTCTATAGTCTAGTCGATAGTCTAGTCGATAGTCTAGTCGATAGTCTAGTCGATAGTCTAGTCGATAGTCTAGTCTATAGTCTAGTCTATAGTCTAGTCTATAGTCCAGTCTATAGTCTAGTCTATAGTCTAGTGTATAGTCTAGTCTATAGTCTAGTCTATAGTCTAGTCTATAGTCTAGTCTATAGTCTAGTATAAGGTCTAGTCTATAGTCTAGTCTATAGTCTAGTCGATAGTCTAGTCGATAGTCTAGTCGATAGTCTAGTCGATAGTCTAGTCTATAGTCTAGTCTATAGTCCAGTCTATAGTCTAGTCTATAGTCTAGTGTATAGTCTAGTCTATAGTCTAGTCTCTAGTCTAGTCTATAGTCTAGTCTATAGTCTATAGTCTAGTCTATAGTCTAGTATATAGTCTAGTATATAGTCTAGTCTATAGTCTAGTCTATAATCTAGTCTATAGTCTAGTCTATAGTCTAGTCTATAGTCTAGTCTAGTCTATAGTCTAGTCTAAAGTCTAGTCTATAGTCTAGTCTAAAGTCTAGTCTATAGTCTAGTCTATAGTCTAGTCTATAGTCTAGTCTATGATGAAGTCTATAGTCTAGTCTAGTCTATAGTCTAGTTTATAGTGTAGTCTATATTCTTGTCAATAGTCATGTCTATAATCTAGCCGATAGTCTAGTCCATAGTCTATAGTCTAGTCTTTAATTTGGTCTGTTGTCTTATCTATAGTTATGTCAATAGTCCAGTCTAATGTCTTGCCTAGTCTAGATGTTAGTCAATAGTCTTTATAGTACATATTTGTTTTATAAATTAGAACTATTTTAAAATCTCAATTTTCCATGCCTGACTGTAACTGATTTTAGTTTTGTTTGGCGCTGTGCATTACACTGTGAAAAATACAAACATGATTGTTATCTTAATTCAAAGTAAATAATTCAATCTTATCAATTATATTCATATTTTTTCTCTAAGAGCAAAGTCTAGTTGATTTTTTCTACAAAAATTTATTTGTTTGTCTTTGCAAAATAAAATAAATTTTATTAACAAAAAAAAAAAAAGAACAAATTTAATCTTTAATTGTTGCTTTTATTTTGAAAAAAGAAAAAATAATAACATTACTTTGTTTGGTTCATTGCTTTATATGATCAAAAAGAGTGTCTATTGACGTCAGTGAAAAAGCAGAAAAATTATAAATAAAACATTTCGAAAAATGTGTCAGTATTTCAGACAAGATCTCATGAACAAGCCGGATTTAATAGAATGCATAAAAATAGTATAATTTTAAAGGCTAAACAAGAATAAAGACACAAGAAGGCTCTAAAATTTTACATGTTTTAAAATAGTATTAAAAATACTACTAAAAAGTATAAAACATTTCTTTCAGTGCAGAATTTTCCTTTATCCCTCTCTATATCTGTTTTTAGCACTTCAAGATCATTTTTAGCAAATATTTTCTGACACCTTTATATTTTGTAATAAGACGTACCCAATGGCAAATTATTTAACAAAAATTTATTTATCAAAATATCTTTTAATTAAAATAAATAATGTTTAAAATTACCGCAATTTTTAGTCTATTATTGTGTGGGATTGTTTTCTGCACAAAATTTTATTTATTACAAACTCATTGGTTGACTGCTTTTATGCACTAACAAATTCCGAATGTATTAAAATTAAAGTAAAATGTAGGAAACTGCCCGAAAAGTGAAACAACAAGTGTGGCCAGACATGGAAAATTGAGTAAAAAATTAGTCCAAATTTTTGCGAATTAGTATACATTTTAGTTAGTTAGTTAGTTAGTTAGTTAGTTAGTTAGTTAGTTAGTTAGTTAGTTAGTTAGTTAGTTAGTTAGTTAGTTAGTTAGTTAGTTAGTTAGTTAGTTAGTTAGTTAGTTAGTTAGTTAGTTAGTTAGTTAGTTAGTTAGTTAGTTAGTTAGTTAGTTCGTTAGTTCGTTCGTTCGTTCGTTCGTTAGTTCGTTCGTTCGTTCGTCGTTCGTTCGTTCGTTCGTTCGTTCGTTCGTTAGTTCGTTCGTTCGTTCGTT